CCTAAGTTTTTTAAATGCCAGAGGGCACATGCCAGAAAAAGAAAGAGAAAGCGCCCTCCCACTCTCCCATGGGCCCATCACACTGCGACCCTCCTTCTCATTTCTCCACCCATCAGGCTCCTGGGCACACAACCACACGGGCCTGCTGTGGTTTTCAAGCTACTGGGGACCGGATCCAGGATCTGGCTCCCTCCACACAGTGCTCAGTCGTGTGTTCAGGGCCAGCCCTCGTGTGTCACATCTTTAATTTCAGCACAAGTCCTGTAAGACGGGGCCAGGAGGTGGGATAGTGCCCAGGGTTCTGGAGTATGCCCAGAGCTGTCTACAAGAAAGGATCGGCTAAGGCTGGGGTAGATTACAGAGGGGAGACCCTGACGGGGATGCCCATTTCTTCCTCTCTCTCCCTCTCTCTCTTTAAGAAAAACTCCTGGGAGACACGTCCTTTTCTTTCAGGTGAGGAAACACCGTCGAGGTCACAGGTTGTGAAGGAGCCCAAAGGCTCACGTGAAGTCCCAGGGACCTGGTACAGTGTCAGTACAGCTGAGGGCAGGAGCCACTGCGCTGTGCTTGGCCACAGGGAACTCTCAGAGGAAGGCGGAAGCGAAATGTCCCCTGTGAGCAGACTGGTTTTCAAGGTAATCTATGGACCATTCTCAGTTCGAACAGAACAAACAAACGAAGAAAATTCAGATTAAATACACACACACACACACACACACACAGATTGCATTCCAGATATGTGTTAGCCACCAGAGCACAAAACCCAGACCCAAATATCCCTGCCCTCAGGGAACCTCGCCTCTGACGGAGGGCCTTTGGATTAGGTGCTGCCCATCTCTGTAGCTGAAAGCACTCTGAGAGGCTCAAGCAATTCCCTGGTACCTGCAATGTATAGCCGTAAGTGGCCCATGTAAGAAATATTGCCTTTTCCACAGCTACCAGGGCTTCAGTGATTAGAAAAAGAGCAATTTACTGAATTGCATAGGAGAGTTGGAAGAGTGAGGTGCTTTTTCAGAGCAGCCAAGAGTAGAGTCAGGGAGTTTCTTGGGCCTGCAAAGTGCCTTATTCAGCAACTCCGAATAAAACTAAGGTCTATCCAGCCAGCCAGGGCATGGTTTGGAAAGGATTCCTCTAGCACGTGTTACGTTCTGCGCTCACCTGGGCACTGCTCCAGAGGCCCCATCAGCTGTTGCGTGCCTGATCTTCATGAAGGCCCCAGTCGCCATGCCAGGGTTAAGGCATCTCCCCAGAGGTTCCCTGTTCCCATCAACTGCTTCACCCATCATGTTCCCTCCTCTGCATCACTTTTCTATCAGAAGCAACTCCTTTGCCCTGGATTTCCTTCTTTGTCTTGCTCTCTGTTCCACTGTTGGCTTTTCTGTTTTTGCAAAAACTCAGCAAAACGCCTCTTTGTCCATCGCCCCTCTTTCTCCCACTCATGTCATTCCCAATTCATGCCTCAAAGAGTGCCCGTAAGGCATCCTTTACCCACGGAACGCATGCCAACTTCCTCAAACGCCTGCTGTCTCATACGAAGCTCCTCTAGGAAGGTTTCCCTGACGAGAGATCAGAGAGACACCATCTCACCTTACAGAAACATCCCCTTTATAAAAATACTTCTCAGAATGGATTCAGCGCAGCAGAGACACCAGATCATTAGACCCGGCGGCTTCCTGAGCTTAGCTCTGCAGCTCTGGGCAGGCGTCGCCAGTGGAGGAGCCCTCGTCCTCCCGCCACATGGTTGTGTGGCACCAGGCACACGGGGAGTCAGTCCAGCCATCGGGGTGGCCTGGGACAGGCCAAGGTGCTCGCACACAGTTGTGTACCGATTCTGTGCTTGGGGCTCCGCCATCAACATAGACCCTGTCCTTCATCGTGACCATTCCAGTTGGGAGAGGGGGAGACAGACTTCTTGGTAAAGAACTGACAAAGACAATGCCCTAAGCGGAAGGGGCACATAGGATTTCAAACTGCTCTGCCAGTGCCTTTGGTGGTGAGCTCTCAGCCCCGGCATCCCTCGGTCTCTCTGACGTTAGCAGACAGCTCCTCAGTTTGCTTCTCCTGCCCCCTGTGCACCCGCCTTCCACCTGCCCTCCGCCAGCATCAGGCGGCCCCGCCAGCATCAGGTGGCGGCCCCACCAGGTGGTAGAGGGGTGAAGTTCACCCTCCAGGCACATGCTCAGTTCTGGGATGGCCGGTCTGGTGAGCTCAGGAGTTGGGAGCAAGTGCAGAGGGCATCCATCACAGCAGACTCAGACTAAAACAAGCAAAAACTCAGAAGCAAATAGAATATGTTCTGCCTGCCTAATTTTATGCATGTGAAAATTTCATATTTTCAGAAGACCAATGTGAAAATGTAGGTAAAATAAGAAACGCCCTCTTCACTGCTCCTTCCCATCGATTTCACCTCTATCCCCCCTACCAATATATACGAGGGTTTTCAAAAAGTTCACAAAAAATGTGTTATGAAAAAATTATGTGAATTTCAAGATTTTCTTGCACCAAAATAAATACTTCAGTTCCATTTTCCATGCAACTTTTGAAGTCTCCTTTTGAAATATGTAAATTTATATCTATATTTTACTAACAAATGGGACACAATACTCATTGATCTTTGCTTTTCTTTTGTTCATGTAATAGTATGACTCAGATATCATTCTGTGTTAGGTAGCATATCCTGTACTATAATACATATATATAGCTATCACCCATTCTTGTAGCCAACTGTGTAGCATTCTGTAGAATCGAAGAACAAAAATAGACTTTAGAAGATCCCCTCTTGTGAGATCTAGATGGTCCTTGTTTTCAGGATTCCAGGCCGGGCTGCGGTAAGCCCACTTTCAGACGGCTCTCTGTGTCTCTGCATATTTCTCCAAAGGCGAGAACCTCAAAGTACAATAATTGGCTCAAAGGGAATACAAATTTAAAAGATTGATGGACACTGTCTAATGGCATGTGGAAATCTTGTCTTTCACTTCTGAAAACTCTTGGTACAGGCTGAGTGTCCCTCATTTGCAACTCTTGAAACCAGAAGTGTTTCCGAGGTTGGATTTCTTACAATTATTATTTTGGAATATTTGCATGTACATAATGAGATGTGCTGGGGGACAGGACCCAAATCTAAACATGAAATTCATTTGTTTCATATTCACTTTCTATTCAAGCCTAATGGTAATGTCAGATGATATTTTTGTATTGTAGCACTTCGACTGTGACCTGTCACATGATATCACACATGAAATTTTCCACTTGTGGTGTCATGTAAGTGCTCAAAAAGTTTCAGATTTGGGGGCGTTTTGGGTTTTGAATTTTTGGATTAGGATTAATCAGCCTCTATCAATATGGTTCACATCTTGCCCATCTATGGCAGGGGTAGAATGGGGAGTCTCGTTATTGTTTAAAATTACAGTCTACGCTCACGAGTAAGCCTGGACCTCTCGCGTGTGTGTTTCCTTTGCCTGTGCCGTCTTGTCTGCCTGTTCTCACGTGGGGTGTGGGTGCAGGGAGGTGCCCTGCTCAGCTGTGGATAGCTGCTCAGCCCTGTGCTGTCGTAGCCCCTGCCCAGAGCCATGCCCTTCCTCCTCAGACTACATTTGATGACAGATAAAGACGGGAGCTTACGGCCTGGCCATTTCAGCCCTGTGCAGAACAGCTGGGGCAGAACTCTGGGTTTTCCAGCTCCCCGTAGGGGCGGAGGATATAGCTGGACCTGCATCATGGCTCCACCTGTGCTCTGGCCAGTCCTGCCCCCTCCTCACCTTCCTCAGGTGCTGATACTCTGATAAGCATCCTGCCCAATTAACTCCACCTGAGCTGGTCCAGGTGTCCAACCTGCAGCAGGTGGGCGGTCCTTAACCTCTGACTTGCAAGTGTAGTCCTGAGCCTTCAACTTAAGGCTGGCTTAAGGGTCAGCAGGACTGCAGCCACTTTGAAACTAAAGAAGACCCCCAAGGAGAACAATCGCGGGAGGTCTCTTTGCTCTTTGAAGACCTAGGACCGGTCAGGTGAGAGACGAGGGTGGGTACTGGAAGGACCCGAGAAAGCCATTGACTGATGGATGGCAGTGAGGAAGGATTCTCTCTGCTGGCGTCTTGTCCTATAAATACTGAGAACACGTTGCGCTTTTTTCGAGACAGTTTGGTGGCGCTTTGCTGACTCTCTCCCAGTTACAGAAATAAATCCCTCCTTCTCCAGCCTCTGCCCTCCTTTCATTGACCAGGAGGAGAAGCAGCCAGCCTGGGTGGGCGGTTAAGTGTAGGTTCCAAACTCCTGACCTAGAGGGGAAACCACGCCTCCTTTCTCGGAGCCTGCTTCCCGCCCTCTCCACTAGGTGGCAGGGCTGACCTCAGACGCAGCTACCGGGCTGACGCGGGATCCGAGCTCAGGGCCTGCTAGCGTTGATGGCGGGACGCCGCTGGTCCTCGGCCACTCTGGCCCACGCTGGCGTTTCCCGAGGAGCACCTCGTTTCCTGCTGTTCTTGGTCTTCAAGATAAAGCCGAATCGTCCCTTGTCCCCGTGTAAGTGGACTTCCTTGGTTACCTCAGTGCCATTATTGCGTGTGTTGGGGTGACGCGATGGGCATGGCAGAAGTGTGGGGGCGCTCGAGCTGGGTTCGAGACCCAAGGGCCCGCGGCGTGCGGTGTTTTCACTCCCGTGATCTGCAGCCGAGCTGGGCTTGTTTCTCTCCGGCTCCGCCGTGGAACGGCGATATTGGAGTCCTTGTTTCCGAGTTTTCTGTCCCGAGGCCCCTCCACTGCCCCCTCCTGACCCCCTTCCCCCCACACACACCCCTGCAGAACCAGGCTGGGCCCATGGCTGGAGCCTGGGAACCGCAGGTAGCCTCTCTCTCGCACCCACCTATTTCTCCGCTCTGACTTCCCTTTCACCCTCTTCTCCCCTTCCCCAAGCCAAGGGATTCTGGACTGAAAATCAAGACAATCAAATCTTGAGACGGCTACAAACACATTTTTCCAAATGGCGTTTCTTTGCCACTTCTTAGGCTTTTGAAATTCAGAAACTGAGAGCCAAGGCTTTGTTCTGTTTTCTGCCGTGTCATCTGTTCTCCAGGCTCTGAGCACCGAGTCCCCTCGCGGGCCACGTGGGGAGGCCGGGAGCCGGGGTAACGGGAAGTCGGGAAAACCAGCTATCATGTCCACATGTGATTCCTCCGCTCTGAGCTTTCCTTCCCTTGTCTTCTAGCTTTGTTTGTGGTATCTTTTATCATGAAGACATTTATAATTTTTGTATAGCCATACCTGCCAATCTTTTCCTTTATAAATTCTAGGTTTTGTATCTGAGGAAAGTCTCTCAATATATAAATTAAAAATATATTTGCTGATAACTTATTCAAACACTTCACAATTTCGTTTTTTTACCTTAAGCCTTTCAACTCATCTTGAATTTTTTTTTTTTTGTATAAGATCTAGAAAAGCTTTCTCTCCCTTTCCTTTTAGATAGGCAGTTACCATTTTTTCTAATACCATTTACTTTTTAAAAGTTTATTAATTTTTCCATGAGTGAAAGAGAGAGAGAGAGAGATGCAGTAAGGCAGCCCCCCTACCCCCCCAGCATCCTAACACCGCCAGCCCCAGCCAGCCCCAGCCAGCCCTGGGTCGTGGGCATGCACGTGCCCGGTGTGCTCAGGGAGGGCTCTGGATGCGAGCCTGGAACCCACCTGTGAGTGTTAGCCTTAGAAGGTCATGTTTTACTGCTGAGCCACTGTTTAGCTCCTACACCATTTCTTTAACAGCCATTTATTTTCTCACTCACATAAGATTCTATTATTGTAAACTAAATTCCTATAGGAACATAGAGCGTAAGCTCTGTTTTCTGGAGAGTTTCAGACCAGAGTGAGGATGAAATGGGAGCTGTGTGTCATTTCTTCGACTGGCTTCCATTTCTTTATACATTTTGTGAAAATGAATGTGATTCTGATGTCTGAAGATAATGAGTTTTTATGCAACATGGCCCCTAAATTCTAACAAGCTACTTTATTTTTGATCTACCCAAAAATAAACTCAGCGAATTCTTCCAATTCTGGAGGAAAAAATTTGCTGCACTAGATCCCTAATAGATTTCAAAAGGTGATTTTGACCAGATATGATTTTATATATGATGAGACTCTGTTGAATTCTTTTGATATGCTGATAGATACATTTTAAAATGTATTTCGTATATTTTCTAGCTAAAGTTTCTACTCATGGACTCAAGATTGGCAATTCCCTATTCCTAAAAAAAACCCTTCTATTTCATCCTAATTTTCAAAAGTATTGGATTAGACATAGCATTCTTCCAATATTTAAAATTTTAAATTTCTGATGTTCCTTGTGTAATGTTTATTTTGATCACACTAGCCTAAGTTTTACTCATTTTCTTGGTCATTTCAAGGGAACAGATTTTACTTTTTATTGATCAAGCTTTGTTGTTGTTGTTGCGTCTTTTAGATTTTCTTCCCTTTTTATTGTTATTACTTCCCCTGGCTGTGCTATCCATGTTCAGGTTCCCTCGTTCATCAGCCTTGGCCATTTGCTGTAGTTATGGCCAATGAGAACAACTGTTTTCTGGGGGAGGAAGACCTTTGAACTCTTGATGAGAGGCTAGACAGTGCCCAGTACTCCCTTTCCTGCTGTCCTCCTTCCTGCTTAGGACACAAGCGGTGTCTGGAGAACCAACAGGCATCTGGAGGGCTATGACAATGACAAAGAGAACTGCAGAAACACTGACCCCGATGTCGTGTAACTGCTGCACCAACACTAGTGACTGCTAGCTCCGCTCTCCTTTTAAATAACAACCCAAAACAATTCTCTTTGTTTAAGGCACTAGGTTTGTTGGGTGTTTGTAGAAATATTCCTACTATTTTTGATGTTTCCTGTTGTCTAATAATATCCTTTAAATCTATACATTTTTGGCCACATTCCATATGATTAATATATGATGTTCTCATTCCTTTATAAATATTTGTAATTTTCATTGGAATTTCTGTTTCCACCAGGGTTTTTCTCTTCTCAAGTACATCATTTCTCCTACTTTTCTGTCATTTCTTATTTTTGGAGAGATTTTTGCTATAGGGTACATGCACTTGCCAGAGAAGTAGAGAAACAGAAACAGAAAGCAAAAAATCACCCCTCAAAGCCTCCAGGTAAATTGGCCATGTTGCAATCCCATCTCCTCCATTCTCCTCTCAAGGTTTTGGACACGCACGCGCACATACCTAGCGTGAATTTTAAGCTGCAAGGTCTGGGACTCAAACTACAGTTGACTATGTGGGAGTCCCGCGGCGTAACTGTTTTGCCATCTGCTGGTCCCAAAGAATTATTTATTATTATTTTAAATTTGCTCTAGGGCACATGCACTCACCAGAGAGAGAGGGAGAGAGAAAGAGAAAGGGAGAAGGAAAGGGAGAGAGAGGTGGAGAGAAAGTGAGAAAGCAAGTTACTAGGTCTGGGACTCAAACTGTGGTCAACCATGAGGGAGTCCAATGTCTTCTTTTATTTTTGGAGAGGTTTTTGCTATAGAGCGCATGTGCTCACCAGAAAGACAGAGAGAGGGAGAGACAGAAAGTGAGAAGTCACCCCCCAGGGGAGATGGCCATGGCCGCCATCCTTTCTCCTCCATTTTCTTCTCAGGATCTTGGGCACGCATGCACACGTGCCCAGCGTGACTTTAAGTCACGAGGTCTGGGACTCAGACTGCGGTCGGCTATATGGAAGTCCAGTGACATAGCCGTTATGCCAACTGCTGGTCCCAGGAATCCAGCATCTTAACTATACCACCTGCTGGCCCCTCTGTCATTTCTGCCTTATTGTAATTTAATCTGAGAATGGGGCCATAGCATTCTGATTGTTAAAGTGTTTTGAGATTTTTGACCCGAAAATAGATTGGTGAACATTCCATTGCATTTGAAAAGCATCTCGAATTCAAAGTTCTCCATCTGATTTTGATGTCTATCCACTTACGTCTACCGGTCTGTTACTCATTTATTTTCAGTTGCCGACTTACTCGTAAACGTCCTGTGGACTTTCTGTCCTCTTGTGCTCTCGTTTCCTAGGGTTGCTTTAATGTGTCCGCTGTAATTGTGAAGTTTTACACTTCCCCTTGCATTCGTAAGTGTTTTTATTCTGTAACCCTCGGGTTTCCCTAAAGACGGTGGCCATCTTTCCTTCTTGGTGGATTACACTGCGTGCTCTGTGAACACCGCTTCTCCCCAGGGTAGCCCTTCGACCTTGATTTCTGTCTTTTTATATTAGCACCCTCGTACCTGTTACTGTCCTGCCATATTATTGAGACACATGTGTTGCTTTATTTTCTTTTATTTTATTTAGGTTTTGGTATGGGGTGAATATGCTTACCAGAGAGACAGAAAAAGGGGGAAAATGAGAAATTGCTCTCTCCCAGGGGAGATGGCCATACCACAATCCCTCCTTCTCCATCATCCCCTGGGGATTTGGGGCACACACATGCACATGTATTTGGTGTGATTTTTCAAGCCACCAGATCCAGGACTCGAACCGCAGAGTCAGCCATGTGAGATCCAGCTGCCTTAATGTCCATGCTACCTGCTGGCCCAAATCTCTATATTTTAACAAAGAAAGTTAATGTACTCATATTTATTGAGAGCGATAAAAGGTTAGGGCTTTCTATAGTTATCTGACTCTCTTCTATTTGCCATTTTGTCAGTTGTTCATTAAACCCTCTCAGGTCTCCTGCCGTATTTTTAAGTTATCTGTGTTCCCATTTTCCCTCCCCATAGGTTTATATATTATCTTCCAACTTTTCTGCAGGTTATCCATACGTGGAGTTGAATGTCTTTCCTATAAGCATTTAGAATGTGGCATTACCCCTTTCCTTTCCTTAAGAACACAGAACCTTATTTCGCATTTCAACCTGGTTCCTTAATCCACTGCTGTCACCCATGATTTGGGGTTTGCATATGGGTGGGGGCTTTGGGAGAGAACTTTTAGCAGATGCAAGAATGTATGTAAATAACGGGGCGGGGGGGGCACATGTGGTTCTGACGGAATGGCTGTCGCAAAGGAGGACATAGAACCGGAAGGACGCAGGGGGAGTGTGTGTGAGCCGGAGCATGCGCACCACTGTACTTCCAGCTCTACTGAGACTCGCACCTCCCTGTCTCCCTTGGGCTCTTCCATATTGAGGGTTTCTGATATTTGCGTTTAAGAAGTTAGGTATTAATTATTATTACAAAACTGGCACATGAATAATTACTTAGGTAGAACTATAAATAAGGCTGCTTTCTTTCTACGCTGTTTTATTTGTATCACTTTGACAGTGAGGATATGCTCCTCTCTCTCCTGAACTGTTTTTCGTGGTGACCATCACGCTCAAGAAAAGTATCTCGTTATCATCAGTACCTACCGAAAGTACCTTCCAGCCTCGAACTTGCCCTGAGGTGGCTCTAGA